ACATAAATTATTTTATCAGAATAAAGAAATGTCGTATATATTTGGCACATTCCGCCGTCTGTCCACATTGCCCACAGGAGTGTTCTATAAACGTTGCGGGACAGTGAACAGATATTACCATAAAGGGAGCATACAAATGGTGTATAACTCAATAAGTAGTGGAGGAGAGCACATGTTCTATTTTAGCCCGTGTCGAAGATTGGAAAGATGGTTACCTGTTGATAATTCTGAAAAATGAAGCTCATAAGTTCACAAGTGTACATCTAGTTTCCTCTTAACCGAAGAGGAAGGAATAGCTTTGTCATATCAGCACATTTTAACAAACAGATTCAATTCATTTCACACACAGCTATTTAGGGAGATATTTAATTCCCCATTTTAGAGTGTAATAAAATAACCCAATTGAGGGAAGGAAAGGTAAGATTATTTCAACAGAAGCGGTCGAAGAATGTTATACCGTAGAAAATATAACACTTATTCTTCATCGTTTTCTCAATGAATTGCCTTCTTATCATAGGTGCTTTTCTATAGGAACTAAGTAGATGATAAATACCCAAGTGCATGTTTTAGTATTGCGATAATGGATCATTGCATAATTTCGATCACATCCATGTAAGATAAGATTGAAGATCCCTTTTTTATCATACAATGTGTCTTCTCGTACAAGGGATAAATTCCTGCTATATCCTCACTGCATATATGAAATTATTTCGTCATGGGAAATAAATTCTTCAATTTTACTTTCATATAGCTCCGTACAACAACGTGTTTGTTATTAATTTTTTCTTTATATACCTGAATTATTAATTACATGAAATTCAGTGTAGGCAGATGTCGCGCGATGAGGAGTGTACTACTGGCAGAGTCAAACTCTTCTTGTTTCCAAATTTCTACTGGGACGAAATAATTAACATATTCTCTGCACCTTCACATGTACAAAATTATGCTGATATAGAACTAAATAAGGAGGAACAGCGCATAATTTTTCCCGTGTTCTGTAGAGTGAGATAATATTCGCTTAGTATTTATTTACCGTGTACAAAAAGGCGCGTTTCACTTACAGTCATCTTATACAAATAAAATACACCATCTGCCTATAATGCGTCAAGGAATATATATGCAATTATTATTAAAAAAGAAGAAAATAAATAAATGTTGCATTTTAATGATGCAAAATATTTATTAAGAACAAGTGGAACGCGTCCATCTTTTACTGAGGGCAATGAGATCTTTATGTGGATCATCTGGACGCGCCACACCAGATAATTATGTAAACTTCCGTATACACCCGCACTATTACACGCCTGTCTTCATCATAACACAATTCTTTATTTCTGATCAGAGGAATAAAATTATTTATCTTTATTCTTAATCATATTATTCCGACAAAGTAGTCTAATATTATACATTTCCTTTTCAATTATATTAAAAATGAACAACGGAAGAGTACACTTATTCATACTCTAGTAAGAAATTAATTAATACCAGATTATGAATATCTGCTGAAATTATAAAGGGGAGATTTTAACGGTGAATAATTCACGTTATCATATAAGATTTAGAAAATTAATTCATTTGTTATTTTTCTGTTTGTTTAATTCTTACATTTTGAAGTGATTTATTTTTATTGGTACATAATAATTTAAAAGCGCTAGAAATATGAAGCATAAGAAATGATGAATTTATAGACAACTTAAGTACGTAATGAATTTTACCGATGATTGCCAAAGCAACATATGGATTTTTCCATGTCATACTGATGGAATTATTACGAAAAAAATAGATAAATGGAAAACTTCAGCTGCCCCGTAGAATCAGAAGTGAGATATACATCGTTTTCAATAACAGCGCGCCGTGGTTACGATGACGTGGGTATAATAGAAGATATTAATTTTTTCTTTCCATGTTTCGTTGAGTACAGTTTTGACAATAAATTTCCCTGAACATGTAAGGAAGTAGAATAATTAATAATAAATATACATTCCTCATTTCTACTGTGAACATCATGAATCCCATGAAAGTCATTGCAGATTAGTTCGTACGCCCAATCTAATATATAAGCCTCCATTTGCAAGTGATTTCCAACAGAAATCAGGAGCTATAACATAGGGAAAAATAAAAGATACTTCCGATTAGAAAAGAAAGGAGAAACATGAGGATGAAACCATCTGAGGAAGTGAAACATTGAGAAGGAATTCCGATCTGAGTAACAACATATACCTGGGATCTATGAGAACAAAATATGCTGTTTTGCAATTGTTGAGAGACAAACAGCAATGCTGTGAGAAAGCAGCTTTACAAATTTTATCGATAACTGTATAAGTTGAGAAGATGTCTCAACATGAATAAGAGGTTGTTCGTAAGAGAAATTCCTGGTACATGGAAGGTTCCTATATTCTTTCACATTCTAAATAGATTATTACACAGAGCAATGACCGTAATACTGCGCATAAGAGATATCTTTTTCTCATGTCTCTTCTTATCGTAAGTATATATGGCATTTAATGTGATAGGTAGAAATGTAGGGGGTGCCATTTAGTTTCGATATAGTCTTTATTCAATAATGAAAGGAATCAGATGTAACATGGTATCTTCTAACAGTCCTGAGCTGTCCTATCGTGTGTATAGTTCCTTTATGAAGGATTCTTTTTTGGATAGGTAGAGTCAGAACCTTCCATAAATGGCTGTTTACTGTATTATTAATTCTATAATCATGCCAAATGCATCGGGATAAATATAATATTTCCGATGTATGAGGAATACGAAGAATGTGAATCTGCTTCATATGGGTC